TTTGGTATGTAATATACAAGATCAAGATGTGTCTAAAAATTTCTGAGACTAGGCACACTTTAAAAAAATTTCGCCATTAGTTCGTGCTCTTGCAAGCATAGCAGTGGTTGCTGCTTTGAGCATTGTTAGCTGTTGATGAATGAAACAGAGACTGCGTAAGCTCTAAAAAAACCCATAAAACTCGAAAACTGAAACCCACAAAATGTTGAAAAACGCATATAGAGATACAGCAATGTTTCATTCTCGTCCATTTGGGTGATATTCATGTTTCGTGATGGATGAGAAAACCTAGACGATGACCCCCAGAGTCGACTGAATATCTTGTGCGCAAGTACAGGAAAGGTTTGAAAGTTCGTGATTTAGTGGCTGCGGGCCGTCGAGTGACACTTAAGATGCTCCCGGATGAGTTGTACTTTGGTAAGGCCACAGTTCATGCAACTCTGAAACACGATTTATAAAACAATAATTTGCGCAAGGTTTGTGCCTGATGGCTGAGCAAACGCTATGCACAATGGAAGCTTCTAAGTATTTAATCAAAGTCACGGATAGTCTCTCTTTCTATATATATATGTAAGATAACAAATATGAAAGAAAACTTCTAATTTTAATTGGCTATAACCTCTTTATATTATTTTTTATTTTTTATTTATTGGAGACTTTCCATCTCTCCGTCTTAAAAATGTGTTGGGGGGGCTAATTAAAATCTAAAAAAAAAACTAAAACTCGCGTCAAGTCAAATTTAATCATTCGATCCTTGCGTAACTCTTTAATATATGCAGATGGTCTCTTGCCCCAATCAAAGTACTTGTAAACCAAAACTTTTTGACTCCCTCCATCCTTCCTGTGAAGTACTGTGAAACTCTGTCTCTTTTCGCTTACGCTTTCATCCTGTTTTAAGACGCTGCTGCAATCATCTATGTTCGCTTCTATCGCTATAGTATCAAAATTGTTCTGGAAATAGGCACGATTGGAGTGCCAAGTGAATTGTGGCCACAAATGTGAATTTAAATTAAGAAAAAAATTGGAATTAAAAGCTGTCTCGACTGCCAAGTTCTTAGTCTTAATGAATTCTACGTTTTAAGTACCAAATATCTACGCCATCACTATTTCGCGCATCTACGCCTCGGTGGTCTTACATCAGTGTTTCCAAAACTGTGCTGTTATTACATATAGGTATATATATGGTTGTTTGTTTTATCTTTATTTGTAATGGGAACGAAAGTTGAAAGCTGATGAGATTCGTATGATCGGGAATCAAAAAAAAAAAAAAACGGGAAAGAAAGAAAAACAGTACAAAACAGCGATCACCAAGCACAAATTACCTTTCACAGAATCTTGCGAAGAGGTATTTACTCCTTTAGATCAGAGTACACTTGATTAGTCAAGGGACTTTAATCGGTTTTTTGAGCCGACAATGATTAATACACCACGAGTTCATTCCTCCAGGACAGATTATCACGCAGTTATTTTGGATAGACTGGTTGAAAAAAGCGCGTTTTAATCCTCATTTTCAGAAAGAAGGTTCCTGTTGCATAAAAGCACAAGACGACACACTGCTGTTAATGTGCACCTCAAACTATTCTCTTTTTTAAAGAACTGAAATCTGTCATAAAAGAGCACTGGTATTCTGATGTAGAGGACATGCAAAAAAGTACGATGCATACCTTTAAATGATTTACCTGTTTCGACAACTTATATAGTAGCGCATTACGATGTAACCACGTTGTAGAGACATTAGGTTATTTTGAAGCCGGAAGGAGGGAAAAAAGGCGCAATGTCGTCGCCAGAACTCGAACCTCGGACCTCTCGATTACGCGCCAAGTGTGCTGGCCATTACACCACGAAGGCATGCTAAGAAGGCGGGCGAAATGCCTTATAAAGCTGGAAGTGCTAATTTGAAAAATATTGAAGTAAATTTTCATTTTCACTATTTCCTTTTTTTTTTTTTTTTTCCCACTAACGGCAATCCTGGAACGTTTTAGGTACATCTTGTATGAAGCTAGAAATATCGCCTGTTAATTATAGTAATGCTTCAGACTTTCATAACTAACAGCTTAAAAATACAGTAAATTAAACTTTACTGTATTTATTTGATTTTATATTAAATTATCTAACTTATATAATTCAAATTAAGATTTAAATTATGGAGGGTATGCATCTAATTCTTTTAAATAATTCGATCCGTTACGTGGTTATAATTTTAAAATTAATGATCTCATGTCACAGCCAATGAAACCTGTCTGGAAATTGGCTGTTTCCTAATGCTGCGCGGATGAAAGATTTTATGTTTCACACGATAGCAAAATTGGCTAAATCACTTTAATGATAAGTACATGGGAACGTAACGTAAACAAATTTGGGTAGTTTTAGTTAAAGGCATACCAAACATTCTAAAGTAAGAAATCAAATTTGTTTGAAAAAGGTATGCGGGATACAACAGTACTTCATCTTCGAAAATCGTATAAAGAACAGCTAAAATAATCAAGGGCCCTTTTTCGTTACAGGCTTGCTCTATTAATACATTTTATATAAGAATACATGCCTTAATATATAAGAAGGTGTCATTTTGTTTCCTCTTATGTGAATTTCGTATTCTAACAAGACATAAATTGTTATCCTTTACTCAGGGAAAGTACTTGCTGCAAAGCGTCTGCACAACTGATCCGGTTCAAAATATCAAAATATTCAAGATGAAATATATTTAAGTCCAAGAATCTTCGAAAACCTCGAACCTTTAAAAAAATAAAAATAAAAATAAATAAATAAATAATAATAATAATAATAATTCGAATGCTGGAAAGCTTGGCGCTTTTTCAGTCAGTCATTCGTACCTCTTGGATTTGAATTGAAACCTAACCTTAAACATTTTAATTCAAAACTTTAGAAAGATTAGTTCTCTTGAAATCGACTAATGCGGTCGTTAAAAACAAAGCACAAATTTTGCAATTTCAGTAGACTTGGATTTTGGATAACTAGCATCATCTCACGGCTACCCTGAATACTACACTTTTTATTTTCTGAAGAGGGTAAACGTTTAAGATTTAGTCCATTTGTAAAATATTAATATAGTTTAAGCTTTAGTGTACAATTATATTAACATATACGTTAAAGTTTAGTGTAACTGTATTAATTTTTGAAATAATTCTCTTCCTTCTGCATTAGCTTAGAAAAATTCTAGAAAAAATGCAAAAAAATTTAAATAGTTACTGGAACATCTTGGATCAAATTACATTGAAAAAAAGAGGCGTGAAATTCAAGAATTTTGATTCTGAACTTCATTTACTAAATTTCACTTGTATCTGTGTAGAGTCATTAGGTTTTCTGAAGCAGGTGATAAGAAAAATGTGCAGTGCTTTCGCAGGAACTCCAATCCTGGACCTCTCGAATACGTATCAAGTATGCTTCCAATCACATTACGAAGACATGTGCAAGGGAAAGAGAAAATACCTCATAGACTCCCTCTTTTAAAAGGCGAACTGATGAGGATTACGGGACCCAATCGTCAAATTCTGGTGGTAAAAAATATCACCTTTTAGCACCACCTTTTAGTTTTTTTTTTTTTTTTTTTAAGCAGGAGACGTGATGCTTCCAGTTACATTACGCATGTATGCGTAAGGGAATGAGAAAATACCTTACATCTTCTTAACAAGTTTCTAAAATTTTGTCCTTAAATTTGTTTCCTATTAAAAGCGGATTTAAACTTTGTTTTAGTTTAAAACTTTTAATGTTAAGAAAATTTTTATTCTTTTTTCTTCTATTATTCTTCTACAGAGTATTTTTGAAAATGTAAGGTTCATCCTATCTCTATATCTAGAAAATATACACAACTACATTTTAAATTATTGTATCATTTATATATTGAAGAAGTAAAACTTCCTGTGGCTTTAGTTATAGAAATAAATAATATTATAGCCTGTGTTTTTATTTTACGGAATTATTTTTAATTTTTCACCGTTTGCCATTGCTATTGTAAATAGCTCATTTTTAAGCATAGAATTTTATAGCCTAAATCTTTAATATCTGGCATTCTTAAATTAATTGACTTTTCGTAACTACATACTTTAAACGTGCTTTGACGTTAAACTGAAATCTGAATATGGAGACCACAATTTTTAGCTGGCTGTCCAGTTTTCGAAACATTTTAACGGTAAACCTGCTGCAACCTGTTAGACATTAGACTGTCAAATGAAGTTTCTAAACCGTAATTTTTTATAAATTTGGGTAAAGGGAAAAAAAGGAGGAGATATAATTGTTTGAATTTTTAAATGAATTATTGGTTTGGTTTAGTTCATTATGGCAAAGCATACGAGAGCTATCTACCTAAAGGGATGGATGCCTTTGTGGGGAACTTTCTAAGGGAAACTGGCTCATATACACGTTACATATTGGAAAAACAACGAAACCCCCATGCAACCAGCCCGTTCGCCGGGATTCGAACCCCTTACCAAACTACCAGTGCTCAACGACTTTACTTCACGGCCGCTGGTGGTGCTTTTTAACTGAACTAACTGACTTCATGTTTTGGTCATGAAATTGGTAAAATCAAACATTTGAGATATTGCTTGATTTCGAATGGAATACAGTTCTGTAATAACATGCCAGCATGTAGTAATTAGGCATCTCATCTGCGCTTTTGGTAAAATGAATACTATGAGGGTAAGCGGAGCTCCGATAGCACAGTACGTTTCGTTAAATAAATTAACCGTTAAATCCGTTAACTCTGTTTTATGAATTCTGTTCCAATATCAGGAACATAGAAGTTTAGGAGAAATGAAAACTTCCTCAATGAGCGACTCGCAACCGTGGCACTTAAATGAGTCTATTTATTGTGATTTCTCTGCACCCTCCATTACAATAAAAAAAAAAAAGTTAGAAGTAGATGCAGATGCAAGGTTGATGGATAACAAACGCTCCACTGACCCATTAGTGGACTTCCTCTCCCCTGTTCCGGATATTCAACAGGGGAAAAGGATAAAAGGAAGTTGAGAGAGAAAATTCATTCTAGGTCTCACGCGGCGACCTTGATCTTGACCTCTGAGGGGTGGAACCAAATTATAAAATGGATCGCAGCCCTCCCTTCTGATTCACTTATCAAGATGATCGTCTCTGCACTACAGGTAAGTTGTCATCTCTTGTAACCAATTAACAGCGTTTAAATAACATCTTAATATAGTGAAACGTTTCACCATTTCGCATTTATAAAATATTATTACCACATCGAAGAGATGTCATTGATTCCAATTCGCCATTGATTAAGTCTTGTCTTATAGGATTATGTTGTTTGATTTTACCAATCAACAACGCCAAAGATTTTTATTTATTCTTGATATAATAAGATTTCTTTTGCTCAATATAGTATTAATTTAACTACTTAAAAAGACATTATACGTGGATTTCTTAACAACATTGTAATTGCGATCTGCTTTACTAACATCCTGCAATATGTCGAAGGAAAAATTGTGAACTTCTCTTGAGTACATCACTTTCTACTGTACAACCACTGTGTAACGGTTTCTGATATTGAAATTCTTTTTGATTGGAATTCTAATTTCAGTAGTTTCCAACTCAGAATATTAATTCAGTTTCATGAATTAACAATTGTAAATATTGATTTTATTTAAGAAGATAAACAAAATATCTGTGTAATTTTTATAATTTTATTTTGTTTTATTTCGTTTATTATTTAAATTTTTAAAAAAAATCTTTCGATATTATACTGTTTTTTGATGAGTTAGACTCTAATCTGAAATTTCCAGATTTGGATATGTTAAATTAATTAATTTTCGAATATTATGTAATATCGAATATATTTTTTAAAAACATTTCTAACCAAATGAAGCTGATTTTTCCCATTAAAAACGTTAAACATGCATTCTTTCACTTTTTAGTGCCACAGTATCGTAAGTTGTTACAACATTCAACATGCACAGGAGTAGTAGATTCTAAGAAGTATTACCAAGTGATCAGAATAAGGCATATCATTCCCGCGAATAACTCCTCTGGCAATTGTTGCTAATCTTCCTGAAGAAGATTTTTAATTTATCTTTGACACCAAAGTACTACATTGCATTGTTATAAACTGGAAGATTTAAATAAAGCAATGGTCATCAAACCGTGTTCCGCGGAACCTTGGAATTCCTATCAGCTTCTTCCGTACGTCAAACGAGTTTCGTTAATAAAAATAAAAATTCTAATGAATTTGTGAATGCCACATGGAATCACAAAACTAATTAAAACGATTAATCAAACAGTATTTTTGATTTCTATTATTATTTTTACCTAAAATTAATACGAAATAAACTTGCTTCATAAGTAAAATTGCAACAAAATAATAACTTTCTTTTCATTTTCAGCATCATGTTCTTGCGAATCGATTATATTTTTAACGCTTTTTTATTATTTATTTTTGTTTTATTTAAAGGATGAAATGGGTTTCATCGAAGCAAATTCTAGTTTTATTGATTCCATAAAAAAATTATATTTCCAGGGATCCTCCGAATGAGCAAAATTTGAAGACATTGAACTATTGAAAAAACAAAAACTGTGTGGTTACTTCTTGACATTTTATTACCTTGCAACTAAACTCTGACTACGGATGCCAATCTTATTTTAGAAAGATCTTTAATTTATCTTTGCTATTAGAGCAATACATAACAAACTTACGAGATTCTAAAGAACGAGAACTAAATAACTAAGAATTCTAAAGAACTAAAGAACGAGATTCTAAAGATAAAAACTGCATGAGTACTTCTTGACAATTTTTGTCTGTATTTTTATATAATATATTTATTTTTTTAAATTTAAAGCTCATGCAGACGGTAATTTTTTTTAATATTTACATTATTAGTATATTTAATGAAAACGTTTCTACTGGCATGTGTTACATGCTTACTTAAAGAATAGCTAAGAGTTCGATATACTTTGATGTTAAAAGACCTAACGGAGAGTGATATCAAGTCTTGTGTTACGTGTCCAAGGCTTTATCTTTTATGCGGTCTGATAATCATTGCAATTAAGCAGTACAAGGTTCTTAAATTAACTTCCACGCAGCATGGTAAATAACCAATTATCAGAGCGTTGGCTTTCGGCGTGGTATAAAACATTTTATTTACCTTTCGTATGGTAAACGTAGTTTAACAAATATAGATGTTTGAAAGTGGTAAACATACTTCTTGCTTTTATTTCCTAGTAACAAATCTGATTGACATAATTTATGGACCGTTTAATAGATATAATTTAATACAGCCAACTGATAATTTATGCAAAAATTTGCACCATTATTCAAGGAATAAGAGTTTTTAAAATCATATATCACATGCGTTGGTGCAGAATAATGATTTGGTTTTTGAAATTAGGGGAAAAAAGCAACCTTGGTTTGGTATAGATTTTTAAATAACACCCTATCGATTTCGAGGGCGAATAGGCGCTTTTCTTCAGAAACTACTCCAACGTTTGATCCTGAAGAAGAAGGACATGTGTCTGATCGCCCTCGACATTATACGGCTTTATTCAAAATATAGACCAAATTAAAACTACTTAATTTTAAATTTCACTTTGAACTATTTGACTTCCAATTTAATTGGGTTTTAAAGAAAATAATTGTTTATAAATTTCTTCAAATATGAAACTTCAAAAGCTGAAAATACTATGCCGCTAATAATCTTTGTAATGCTAATAAACACTTGCTTAGTAACTCAGAGGCATAGCAAAAATTAGCTCAGAGGCATAGCATGATTTTATTTTAGTAACTCGGAGGCATAGCAAAAATTAGCTTTATTATTACGGAGTTTAAATAAATCCATTAATTTAAGATTATGTAGGAGTAAACAACATGGTTTTATTTTTAATTTAATACATAAGATATATAAATAAATACTTCTTACATGGTTTAAGATAAATGCAGTTAAAAGCAAAAAGTTATTTTTTATCTTTCATATCATTCTCAGTCACGGACTAAAAACAAAAACGTGGGACTATTAACAATGAGAATTTTAAATCAAAATTCTCAGAGGAGAAATTTAAGGGAATTGAATATGATCATTCTTAAGTACTACTTGTCTTGTGTTGTCACTTCTGTTCAGTATTGTAGTTATTAAAATGAAAAACGTTTCGAATATTCAACCTTAATTTTCCGCTATCTAATCTGAAGAAGCATAATTTGTTTAACAGTGCAGAATGAGAATTTAATATTGCATTATATTAAACGACTTTTATAGGCTGTTACCAGTTCCATTGTTCCTTGTCATTCTGTTAATGTCCTAGTTAACTCCCATAAAGGCACCCTATAGTTTTAATTCGAGTCCTATACGACCAAAAATATTAGCTTATCTAAAAAATTACTTTCGGCTTTTTAGTACATTCAGCTAATACAATGTAACCGAAAACGATTTATACTTTTTAGTTAAGGAATGTAGAAACGGAAGAAATAAAGAAAAAAACTGCACCCGAACATAGGAAGATTATTCCTCCTTAATTAACGAAGCAATGAACTACACATGACGTCATCTTTTTCCCTCCTTATGCCAAGGTTTTCTGATCTATTCTACGATGCAATTTACATTTAAACAGTTACATTTCTATTTTATTTAAAAATACTATCACATGACTGGTTGAAAAATCGAACTATTTTTCAAAATTTTCCGAAAGTTGATAAATTACATTTGAAATTAAAAAAAAAAAAAAAAAAAAAAAAAAAAAAAACTTTAATTGGAAGCCTGACATTGTTTAAGAAGGGGAAGGGACTATTCAATGCTGTAGAAATGAAAATTGTGCAATGATTTGTGTAATTGCTAAACCAAAATACTCGAAAAGAATCAGCTCTTAATATAAAACGTTACGTTCTACTTTAAACTTTCGAACATTTATTTTGCAACGTTATATTGCCGTTAAATATGTTGCCTGGTACTAATTCGAAACAAAATTTCTAACCGAATTGCCAAGGCAAACCATGCAATTTTTCTTTGGGCGTTTAGCCATTGCTATACATGGACAAGCTGGTATTTCTGAGCAAACGATAACAATGTTTTCAAAAATAATTTTCTTATTTGCTAAACTATTCAGCCTTTTGCATATCCTTTTTTCCCCTCTTCCAGTTATTCAATTCTCTCTCATAACGATGGAGAATTTATATAATTTTCTAGTTCAGAGTTATTGGTTTGGCAAGCAAATAATTTCGGCTTGCACAAATAGATAGCGTTGAGCTCGTTTTGTTATTCTTCTGTTTAAGCTTACACTTTATTTTCTTTTGAGATATGGCAGCTGAGAATTTTAGATTTCTATAGAAACAAGTCCGTTGTATTTTTGTTTGCAACTGTTAGTTTACGGTTAGTTTTAACACGGGGTGCAAAAATAAATACTTTCGACATATTTTACTTTTTTATTTTCATAAAAGCGAGAAAGCGGTTGAAACTCACAAAAAAAAAAAAAAAAAAAAAAAAAAAAAAAAAACATATGAAGTTCATCTCTGAAGTCCTGGCTGAGTGCCTGGAAAATCCAGATTAATGTTAAAAAATCAGATACTATCCTTTTCACCAGAAAAAAAAAGTTTGACGCTAATTTGCACATCAAAATGTACGATACTCCAATCCCCTGGGCAAAGGTCCGCTAACTAGGTATTATATACTTAATCGTTAGCTCACATAGTTCCCCCACATTTCAAGTATTCTAAACAAGCTCCGAGCACGTAAATTTACACTGCCCCCCCCAATTGCTCGAAACTGCATTCGCTCGATTTATAACAAGTTACTTATTTACCAAACCATGTTGCGTCCAATTTTTACCTATGCCTGCCCGTCTGAGGTAACGTCTGTTATACTTCCATGCAAAAATTGCAAATTGCACAAAATGTTGTTTTAAGAGAAGTGGTGAATTGTGGTTCCTCAGAAACACGGCGATTCACCGTGAACTCAATATACGAGAGATAAATATTAACATGTCCAAACTGACTGAGAAATGTTTCCGTAAACTTCCGGATGTCAACAATGTTACTAAACCTATCTTAAACTATGATTATTGTGCAAATGGAAAATAGGAAAAAGCCGAAGGCAGTCCTAAGGCGTATTTCTTAAATATCTATTGTTTGTCCACTGTCATGTATTTACAATGTTGTATCATTTTT